GGAAGGCTGAGGCGGAAGGATCACCGGAGCCCAACAGGTCGAGGCTGCAGTGGCCGGGAGTGTGCCACTGCCCTCCAGTCTGGGTGACAGAGTAAGACTCCAACTCAACAACAACAACAAAAAGACCTTTCCTCTGTTGGATTATAATTCTAGCTCTGAATTTCTGTTCATCAGATAAACAAAAGTCCTAATAAAGAATGGCTTTATTGATCAGATATGAGCTTCCCTCAAAAAGAAAAAAAAATGTGAAAAAAAGAACAGCTTCATCAGCTCCACAGTGAGATATTTAGGTGAAATGAGCAGACCTAAATATTGCACAATCATAAAACATGAAGTAGTACAATGACAACTTTCAATTAATTATAAGCATTAAATCTGTACCAATTAAACTACACTTGTATCCCCATAAGGACAGAGCGTCCGTGCGGCTCTGTGTAAATATCCTGAGCATAGGAAAAATGTGACGTTTTCAGTTTGGGGACATTATTACTAGATATTACATAAGCTCCAATGAAACAAATGTATAAATCACATGCATTACAAATACCAAGAATAACTGCTTGTTATTTTAGTAAAAAACTTCTGACAAGAGACAATATACTTACAAGAGATAGCAGCAAACTGAACAGGTCACCAACATGGTGATGATAACTCTAAAAAAAAAAAAAATGCAAATGTCATCAGATCGCTAGCAAATCACACAGACACTGCAGAACGGTTTAAATCCCTTCCCAAATTACAAAACTGGCACAGACTCTGCACCAATAAAATGGATCGGAATCCACACAAATACCTGGTAGACTGCAGTGTGCCCAGAGTGCACTTGGTAGGTTAAGTATGTAATTAAACATTTGTATTTACAGGGATATGTACTGATGCTACAGCTTAGACGTCCAATTCAAATTCATCTGAAACTGAACAGAGAAGGCAGCGATGACAATTCCGTTTGACACCTGGGTCACTGCCCTATCTAGCAGTATTCTCTGCAATGAAATACACTGTACTTCTAAAGTATTACTCACCAAATATGGTGGCTAACACCTATAATCTCAGCACTTTGGGAGGCAGAGGCGAGAGGAATGTCTGAGCTCAGGAGTTCAAGACCAGCCTGGGCAACATGGCAAGACCTCGTCTCTATAATAAATTTAAAAATTAGCCGGGCTCGGTGGCTCAGCCTATAATCCCGCGCCTTTGGGAGGCTGAGGTGAGGGGATTGCCTGAGCCCGCGGGTTCGAGACCCGCCTGGGCAGCGAGACCTCATCTCTACAATAAATCAAAAAATCAGCCGGGTGTGGTAGCACATGCCTGTAATTCCAGCTACTCGGAAGGCTGAGGCGGAAGGGATCGCCAGAGCCCAGCAGGTCGAGGCTGTGGTGGCCAGGAGCGACCACTGCACTCCAGTCTGGGCGACTGAGTGAGACTCCAACTCAAAAATAAATAAATAAATAAATAAATTTAAAAATTAGCCAGGCATGGTGGTGCAGGCCTGTGGTTCCAGCTATCCAGAAGACTGAGGCGGAAGGATATGACCTGAGCCCAGCAGGTGGAGGCTGCAGTGGCTGTGAGCAAGTCACTGCACTCCAGTCTGAGTGACAGAGTAAGACTCCAACTCAAAAAAATAAAAATAAATAAAGAATGACTCTAGCATGGCCCTCCCCCATCACCATTCAGTTCTGAAAAAGGTAACCTGGGATCTCTCACTAGCAGAATTTCAACATTTCTAAAACAGTTCACGATATTCTTTTCCCATCTCTTTCCAAAAGCTCCCCTTCCAAATCTCCTACTCTCCAGAAGCTCTGCCATTTCCACCCACACAACCAGCCCTCAAGTCTACATCTTCTGCTCATGACTCTGCTGTACTCTCACAGTCTCGATGCTATGGATCTGATCTCCCAAGCGCCTCCCCCAAGTGGATTTCCTCCTTCCCATACCCACTGCTGGCAACAAAATTCCCCAGGTCTGCCTGGCTAACAAACTGCCAGCAGAGTCAAACTTCCTTTCCTTTCATTTTATCCACAAGCAGGAGGGTTAATGTTTCTAAAGTATTCCTTTCATTACATCACTCTCCATCTTAATGCCCCCCCAATCTGGTTTCCAAAAGGCGTGTCCACATCCCAGGGAGTGAGCAAGACTATCTTCTAGAACTCAGAGAGTCAATATCAGACCTATTTTATTTTATTTGTTGAGTTGGAGTCTCACTCTGTCGCCCAGGCTGAAGTGCAGCAGCATGCTCACGGCCACTGCAGCCTTGAGCTGCAAGGCTCAGGCGATCTTTCTGCCTCAGCCTTCCAAGTAACTGGAACTACAGAAGCATGCTACCACGCCCAGCTAATTTTTATTTATTTATTTATTTATTATTGTAGAGATGAGGTCTCGCCAAGTTGCCCAGGCTGGTTACTACCCTGGACTCAGGCAATCGTCTTGCTTCGGCCTCCCAAAGTGCTGGGATTGCAGGTTTGAGCCGCGTGCCCAGCCTAGACCTATTTTAATATTTATTTTTAATTCCTCCTTTAGAAGTTCTGTGTGCTTGTTTTCTGTGGCTAACATAGTGGTACATTCACTCATTCATTCAACACTTTTTCACGGAGTGTCCAGTGCCAACAAGATCCAGGGAAAGATCAGTGAACAAAACAGATAAATTCCTGCCTCGCGAAGTTTACATGCCAGTGGAGAAGACAACAAACAAGATGACATACACAAACAGCAATGATCTACCTATTGACCATTAGTATGCTGGAGGGTCCTAGGCGCTGATGGAGGAAGACAAAGCAGGAAAGGAAGGCAGGGTACAGGGGCTGGAGAGCGCAGCTGTAGTTTTAAGGAGAGTCAGGAAAGCCCTGGCTAAGGAGTTGGCATCTGAGTGCAGACCTGAAGGAGGGGAGGGAGGGTTCCAGGAGGGGAAACAGCAAACGCAAGACAGGAGGTGAGAGGGCACCAGGTGTTCAGAAGAAGGAGTCCAGAGTGGCAGAAGCAGAGCTGGGGAGGCTGGGGGAGCAAGGGGAGCCTGGGGCAGCAAAGGAAGGCTGGAGGAGTGAGGGGAGGCCAGGGGAGCCAGGCAGAGCCTGTGAGCAAGGGCAGCCTGGGGGAGAAAGGGAAAGCTAGGGGAGTGAGGGAAGATGGGGAAATGAGGGAGAGGCCTGAGCAAGAGGGAGGCTGGGGGAGTGAGGGGAGCTTGAGGGAGTGAGGGGAGGCCAAGGGAGTGAGGAGAGGTTGGGGAGGAAGTGAGGGGGATCCTGGGGGTGTGAGGGAAGGCTGAAGGGAGACTGGAAGATTAAGGCCGAAGCTAGGGGAGCAAGGTCTAAGGGGCAGCAGGCAGCCTCTGAAAGGCTTCGGATTCGGGGAACAGGGAAGTGACCTGGAGGGTTTGAGGGGATGATGATCTGGTGAATTCTAACAGGATCTCTTTGCTGGGATGAAATAGAGTGGGGGAAGGGAGCAGCAGGAAAAGCAGAGGAACCAGCAGGAAGGAGGCACCCTAATCCACGGGTAAGGCTGGCAGCAGAGCAAGTAAGAGCCGGCCAGAGTCTTCCAAATTATAATGTATACATTATACTTAAGATACATAAATCAGGGTGTACTACAAGCTCCACTGCTCACCTGTAGTAACTCCCCTCTTTACCACTCCCTCTTCAAACATCCATTCTTCATTCCTGAAGGTGGCGCCCTCACTGTCCCCAAACACAGCATGCCTATGATGCTCAATTCCAAGCTCTGGCTCATCCTCCCCCAGCTCCTCTCTTCTCAGAAAGACTCCTCAGCTGAAAGCCCCAAGGCGCCCTCATACCGCCTGCTTGATATTAATGTTTCCTCTAAGGGCTCCCTCAAGAAAACAACAGCTCATAACTGCTTCACCTCAGGCCCTGCTTGCTGAGCACTAAACTGCAATTCATATTCAAATACTTTCAACACAATTATACACATACATAGACAGATAAAGCACATCTGAATACATCAATGAGAGACCCAAGAGATTAAAAAACAAAACAAAACAAAAAAACACTCTAAGAGAACTATTACTATATGGATTCCTACCCCACGTTCACTGTATTTGTTTGCAGTGTTTGTACTTAGAATTTTGTTAAGTTTAATTTTTGTTTGTCTCATAAAATAACCGATTGCTTCTACAACTGCTGCTAGCAGTATGTGAATGTCAAGTAATAAACCCCTCCCGGACATTCCTTTGCTTAGCCTGCCTGCTGACATTCCACTCTGCTCATTTAGCAGCTCCCCCGTCAATCACAGGTAGCTGAGCGGACCAGACCAATCCCAAGTGCCCCCGTACCCATTAGGAGAAATTACCCTATCGTGTAAAAACAAGTTTAAAGTTCTTTCCCCTCCCTCTGTAATGATATATAAAAACTGCTTGCCATGCTGGATCGGGGCTCTCATCGCTGAAGCTGCTGCTTCGGGCATGAGCCCAGACTCGAGCCTGAATAAAGACCCTTGTGTGTTTGCATCAGAGCTGGCTCTTTGTTGGTCTCTCGGATTCTGAAATTTGGGTTTAACATTTGGAGGCCCCAGCGAGATTTTTTTATTCCAGAGACCTCCAACCCCAGCCTGTAGGGTCTCCATATGGGGGAGTGCACTGTATTGTCTGTCTGTCTGCTTAATTGTTACTCGTTGTTAGCGCACTTCTTGTAAGATATCGATATCTATTTTATAAGGCCAGAATAAGGTTAAGCGGATGCGCTATCTAGGACCGCTGGCCAGAGATCTTGGGAGACGTCTCTCGATCTCAGAGGGAGCCTAGGCGCTGGAAAGCGCAGGCACTGAGGGGGGTCCAGGCGTGAGAGGCACGGACTCAGTAGCTCTCGGATGCAGTGGCGGTCTGAGATAGGGGGTCGTCTGGTATGCCCCCATTTGGAGGA